TGAGGCGGCCGGGCGGCAGTACTCGTTCGAACTTTGCGAGCCGTGCGCGCGCCGAGGCGCCCGCGGCGCGCGCCCGCCCGGCTGCCAGTAGGAGGCGGCGCAATATGGCCTATAGTACAGCCCTTAGGAGGAGGAAGAGGCTGGCTGGCAGTGCTGTATGCCGCCGAGGGGCAGTTTTGGGGTGCTGTCCCCATCCCAGGGGGCTGCAGAACGCGTCCGCAGCCGGGACAACCCGCCCCCCCAGCCGAGGCCGGTCGAAGCCCACTTGGAGGCAGCCATGAGGAGTCCTCTTGGTGCTCCTGGCGGCCGTTGGAATGGCGAGCGCGCGCCGAGGGGGGGGGGGGGGGTCTTGCTTGCTCCACACCGAGCGCCATCGGTCCGGACCGGTGCCTCCACCGAGGGGTGGCTTGCACAAGGTCTGAGCCGCGGGCGCTCGGCGCCAAGTGCAGTGTCACGCTCGCACGCGAAGGGGACACAATGGGAAACCCTCGTTTCCTATGTACTCGGTCCCCCAACGGAAGAGGCCTCGCTCCTATTGGAACTGGCCAACATCAGATTTGCCTCGTGCGTCCCTTTTTGAGTCGGAAAGCTATTTTCTTTTGGGTCCTGTGGGCACCCTATCCTCGCCGCCTTCGCTGCCGCTGCATCGCTGTCAGCTCGTCATTTCTGTCTACGGTCATATGGGGGCGCCATCGCTGTTCTCTCTCTCCTGGGGTCAGCTCCAAGCCCTGCCGTGTCGGGACGTCGCCCCCTCGGCTCCCCCCCCCCCCCCCTCTCGCCGCTGAACTGCATGCTGCGATTCTCGCCCCTTGTCGCCGGAGCCAGGTGCGTGTGTCTAATCGTAGTGTGGGGGCCCTGGCCCCCCTCCGTTTTCTGTTTTCTGTTTTTCACAACGCCCGCCCGCCCGCCACCCCGAGGCGGCTCGGCCCCCCACTGACCCAGAGATCAAAAACGCTCGGCCTGCGCAGCCCTATAGGCCCTAGCTGGGCAAAGAAACCAGCACCTCATCAGGCTTCCCTGAGCGTGAGAGCCGCGTACAGGGTACAGCTCTCGCGGTTGATCGCGCCGGCGCCGGAGCGACACCACTGAGACGGCGGTCGGCGCGCTTGTGTTCCGGGGGCACACACCACACAGGCACTCGGGAGCAATAAGACATGGGCTCTACGGCTACACATCCCGAACCACCCTCTCCAGCTGCAGCTCGATACATTCAACACTCTCTAAAGTCTCAACGACCTCGCCTCAATCAACCTCGACTTCCCCCTCAAGAAGTACACGTAGACGTACGTTCGCTACCGCACGACCAACCTGTACTCGCCGGTGCGCCTCTGTCGGGGGCGGCGACGCCACTCCACTCTCAGAGGTGCGTCTGCCCGTCCGTCTGTGAGCACTCCGGCCCGAGGTAGAAGCGCTCCTCAGTGGGCGGCGTCCAGCCGTCGTAGGTGATTCGGATGACCGTGTGCAGCGGCATCGACAGCTTGGGCGCCTGCGCCCGCGTCCGCCCGGTCAGGTAGCAGTAAAGCAGCCGCAGCACGGCCTGGTGCGAGACGATGACCAGCGGCTCGTGGTACGACTCGAGCTCGTGCACGAGCGGGTCGAGCCGCGCGAGGATGTCGAGGTACGACTCGCCGCGCGGGTAGCGGAAGCCGATCTTGTCGGTGGCGCGCATCTTCGCCTCGGACGGGAAGCTGTGCTGGATCTCCTCGTACGTCATCCCCTCGCACTCGCCCGCGAAGATCTCGTCGAGGTTGCGGTACACGCGCGGCGCCATCTGCTGCCACACGCGGTCGCGGTCGCCGCCGCCGCCGCGGTCCGAGTCCAAGTCGATCCCTCCGAGCGCGACGCCGCCGACGACGCCGGAGAGGCCGCCCGAGCGCAGCCGCTCTCGGAGCCCGTTCGCGCGCGGCGGGGTCCCGCGCAAGCCGCTGCTGCGGCCGGCGCTGCAGCGGGTCGGCGAGTCGCCTGTTGAGAGCAGACGGTGTGAGAGACGCAACTCACAGCTGCCGCGGGTCGGCGAGGGCGGCGCCGTTGGCGAGGGCATCGTCGGCGTCGGGTTCGGGCGGCACGGACGGAGTGCCGAGGTCCTCCTCGCTGATGATCGGGTGTGGGATGTGCTGGGCGGTGAGGATGGTGCGCTGGAGCGAGGAGGTCCACAGGCGCGTCTTTGTGAGCGAGTCGAGGCCGGCAGCCTGCTGGTAGCACACGTACGGCATCACCCACGCTCCGAGCCGGCGCGCGTACTCCTCGCCGGCGGGCGAGAGGGGCGAGTTGCCGCCGATCTTGCCGAGCTGATTGTACGTGGACTGGCCGTGGCGCGTCAGGTAGATGACGTGCGGCGTCGGGTGAACGACGGTGAGGAACTGG